CCCCCGCGCTCTCAGCTGTAGGGCACAGCTCAGTTGCTTGGTCCAGCAGTTTGGTTTGTAGAGCACTTTCCCTCTGGAGAGGACTGAGCTGGGAAGTTTGGCCAGTTATAGGAATCTGTACCTTAGAGTTGGTAACAGAATCGATGACTATGAATCCGCTCATTGGACTCTTGGGGTGGGACTTATGGGCTCTGTGTGCAGCGGACAGACAGGTTATGTGAGATGGAATACTTGTGACTTGCCTTAGAAAATCTCTAATAGAGCTGGACAGTGGTGGCGCAGGCCTTTAATCCCAGCACTCAGGAGGCAGAGGCAGGCGGATCTCTGTGAGTTCGAGGCCAGCCTGGGCTACAAGAGCTAGTTCCAGGGCAGGCTCCAAAGCTACAGAGAAACCCTGTCTTGAAAAACCATCCCTCTCCCCACAAAAAAGAAAATCTCTAATAGGTCACAAAAACAAAGTAGACTCGGCCATATGTGGGGACTGCAGTGAGGTGGGCACCCGCACTCCGCCAGCCCTTCTTTCCTTGGGGCAGGTGGCAATCTTGCCAATTTCATTGCTTTGGTTCATGGACTAGTTTCTTAGCACTGAAGAAAGGTCAGGGACCCTGGGGGACTTTGGAAGCCGTGAGTGCCCCTCTCCATGGAGGGAGGATGGATGCATCACATGTTTCCAGGGGTGACTGCAGGATCCTATTCCTCCATCTTGAGGGTAGAACCTATAGACCCATTGAGCTTTGTGGTTTCTCCTGGACAATTATTTTTGGTGCCCTAATTCTAATTAAAGAGGAAAAGGATTAGAATATGCACAACAGTTTTCAGTCTGTGGTGGGGGTTGGCAGGGCTGATGTTCCTCCCACTGCTGACCCTCCGAGGAGCGCTGTTGCTACGGGTGTGTGTGTGTGTGTGTGTGTGTGTGTGTGTGTGCTGTTGAGTGGAGGGCTCCTTTTCCTCATTTGTTTTGAGCTGGAGTCTCTACTAGTGTAGGTGGGCCTTTAGCTCAGGGTCCTTCTGCTGATGGGATGGTCGGTGTGCCCTGCTCATATCTTTAACTCAGCAGTTTTGCCGCTCAGAGGGCTGTCCTTGATGGACAGGGTCAGATTACAAATTTTGCATACAAGCTGCTTACCATGCTCCTGGCATCTTGCATTAGTGAAGGACTATTGAAGATGGCGTTATCAGTCAGTATACTGTGATCCTACATGTGTGACTTACTTTGAATTTTGAATAGTTTCTGATAACACAGGACTAAAATTAGGATATGTACTAGGCTCTCAAATTACATGAAAAATATCAGTAAAAATCCTGGTGGAAAGTGAGCAAATGTACCATAATTCTCAGTGATAGTAGGATGTAGGCCTTCAAACCAAATTCTCTGCATAGTTCCTTGTTTACAGTAAACATTAGTTCTAGAATCAAGGGAGGGGGGAAATTGGGAAAAGTGTGGATGGTTTTGTCTTAAAGAGACACAGGGTAAAAAACACAGTGTGGAACTAGCTCACAAGAGCTGCTCACTCTGCCTGCTGTGTGACTCTTTCCTTTCTGTGTGGCACAAGACACTCGAATACCTGACCAGTGGAGGCCAGGCAAGGGTAGCAGTGGCGGTGGAGAACTGTTTGCACGGATCTTTTCATAGATGATATTTTTCAGGTATTCTATAGATGGAGAGTCAGGACCTTTGATTTCAACCCCATCCTTTACTGTCTTCCAGGGTACTCGTAAAACGTCTTTCCTCCGGGGAGTAGAAACTGGTCTAATGAATTTCTCTTTAGGATTCACAGATGGAGTCAGTGGAAAAGACAACGAACAGAAGTGAACAGAAATCAAGGTAAATAAAATCAGGATATAAAGGGACTATGCTGGGAGGAGAACCCAGAGCTGCCTACCATGGTTTCCTCCAACGCAAGAAACATCCCAGAAGGTGGCTTTCTACTCACAGAAACCATCCGAGTCCCATCTCCAAACCAAGGAACATGAAACTGGAGGGTGGGGAGGGGCCGAGGACTGTCAGTGACCAGCAGGTCCACTTACTGGCAAGAGATGCCGAATGAGCAGCTGCCCCTGGAGAACACAGTGGGTCTTCCATGGCAGAGAACCCGCATTTTGTCATTTGTTCTCACAGTGTTTACAAGCTACATTCAGCTTCACAGACACCATCATGTAAATGTCACAGTGGGCAACAGGGACTTTGTCTTCTGGCAGTGAGTGGAAGGGCAAATGTTTGACCTGAACATTCTAGATGTTTCCAGACTGGAAGCTTACAGTACTTCCAAGCTGACTGTTGTCTTCCTCCCTTGTTTTTAAATAGAAAGTTTTTAAAGAGCCTCATTAGGAAGCAACCTCAGGACCTGCTCCTGGTCATTGGGACTGGTGTGAGTGCAGCGGTGGCCCCCGGGATCCGCGCGCTCTGCTCTTGGAGGAGCTGTATTGAGGCAGTCATCGAGGCTGCAGAGCAGCTGGAGGTTCTGCACCCTGGGGACGTTGCCGAGTTCCGGAGGAAGGTGATGAAAGACCGGGACCTGCTGGTTGTGGCCCATGATCTGATCCGGAAAATGTCTCCTGTGAGTCTCAAACACAGGACTTGCTTTGGGGTCTAGGCCAGGTTGAACACTAGGCCTCCATGAGCAGAGGTACTCATTTTTGAGTACTCAGCCTAGAAGGTCACCATCCTTTTTTTTTTTGAGACAGTGTAACAGTGTAGCCCTGGCTGTCTTGGAACTCTTTCTGTAGACTAGGCTGGCCTTGAATGCGAGATCTGCCTACCTCTGCTTCCCAAGGTGTGCACCACCATGCACAGCAGGATGCCACCCTTTTAACCCCTACATTGGGCTGTCTGCAGGTGCTGGATGTTGTCCTGCTGCACTGTTGGTGTGAGGTTTGAGAGGCGCTGTGAATGTGGCATTGGCTAATCACACCTCTCTAGATGACAGTGGTCCTCAGAAGACATTTTCAGGTGGGGAGGCCGTGCTGTTTGCTAGTAGAAGTGACACAGCAGAGTGGGAACATAGTCGGTGATGCAAGAGACAGTTAATGAGGTGCCGCCAGCTCGTGGGTGTCTGTGTCTGCTGGGTGCTGAGCACCATGTGTGAAGCTGGAGTGGGCTGCTTCCCGCTGGTCTGTGCGCCTGCAGTAAGTGTTTAGAGGAGGGGAGGAAACTGGAGGTGGGAGAACGTGAAATGGTCAGCGCAAAGGACGGAAGGTTCTGGGTTAGAAGATACCCCAAAGGGTGTGGTTTTATTATGTTAGTAACTCTCATTCGTACACTGAAATCTGGGGGTGCAACCCAGGAGAGTGCAAGAGCTCCATGGTTTTGAAGTTCCCTGTCTTTGCACAAAGTCAGCTGCCTGACTCCCCGCTGTTCCTTTCAGTGGGCAGTGGGAGATGGGGCATCAGCCCTCACCCTTCCATGGCTTCCCTTGATTCCCTTGGTCAGTATCTTCACGCCAGTGCTGACCTCACCTTCCCAGGCTGTGCCAGGCCCTTGTAGGCAGGGGCTGGCCCAAACCTGACCTGCTAGCCATTTTTATAAAGTTGTTTTGGCATGTGGCCTTTGGCATTTGGCAGTGTGGCAGTTGCTGGCACACTGTCTATGGCTGCTTTCCTGTCCAGAGGCCAGCTTGAGTAGTTACAGTAGGAACTGTGGCCACAGGCCTAAAAGGTTGGTAGACAGCGGGTGCTGATCCCTTCCTTATACATGAAGATGAATGCTAAACCCGTGGATGGTTGGGCAGCACTGAGGGTGTGTGGCTCATGCAAAGAGAGGTTGTCATGTTGATCATTGCTGGTCAGGAAGTGTGTCTGAAGTGCCGTCTGTTACTTCTTAGCCTGTGCACTGTTCTCGAACTCCCAAGGAGTCAGATGAGATGGTCAGCAGGCCTTTCCTGCTGTGCTGGCAGGTTTTTGAGGTGGGCTTTGGTGCCACGGATAAAGATAAGGGCTAGCAGGTACTGCAGGGGAGTGGCCACAGGAATGAGATTCCCCACAGCCTCCTAGGAGAAGGAGGGTCTAAGGGAAGCTTGCCTGGTGGTTGTGACTTGCGGGCCTTTGAGGTGGTGCTGATTGTGAGACTAAGTGCTGCTGCAGGAAGCTGCTCTTCTTGGGGAGCGTGTGACCTCTTGACCGCCATGTATGTCCACCTCAGCCCTATCACTCTGGTTCTCTACAGCAAACTCTGCTGCCACCACTTCTCCCTGCTCACGCCCTTAGCTCCCTTCCTTCTCTGCCCACTTGGGGAAAGTAGAGACTTTCCAGGTACCTTATACCCTGGCTCTGGTTATCTGGTTATCACCTGCTAATCTTTCCCCTCCCTCTCCTAGCCACAAGCAGGCTCTTTTCTGACCTTGAACCCATTTTCACTAATACCCCCAGTGCCTTTGTACTTGCTCTGTGTGCTTATAACATTCCCGAGAACTACCAGCTCCTTCAGGTCTCTGCCTGGACAGTGGCTTTTCCAAGAGGCCTATTGGGCCCTTGACTGCCCACTCTGCCCCCAGGGCACCTACACCTCCTCTCTGCCTTGCTTTCCCATGGGATTTATTGCTGCAGTGCTGCATCCTGGCACGTGAGCTGTCTTCCTCCTTGGAGGCTGCCTTCCTTCTCTCTTCTTGTAAGAATGTGCCCCTACTCATGTGCCATGTCTTTGTCACAGTCGGAGCTCTGGTGTCCCTAACTTCTTTTTGTTGTTTTGAGACAGGGTCTCTCTATGTAGACCTGGCTGGCCTGTATAATTCACTATGAAGACCAGATCGATCTCAGACTCACAGAGATTTGCCTGCTTCTGTCTTGTGCATGGCCACACCCAGCTTGTGTTCCTTTTTTTTTTTTTTCTAAGGTGGGGTTTCTCTTTGTAGTCCCTGGCTGTCCTGGAACTCACTCTGTACACTAGGCTAGCCTCAAACTCACAGAGATCCACCCGTCTCTGCCTTCCGAGTGCTGGGATTGAGGGCTTGCTTATTGTTTCAGAGGGTGAGCATGGCAAAGGAAGGTGGGCAGGCATGGCACTGCTCTGCATGTGTTCCTAACTTTTGTCTACCCCTCCACAGCGCACAGGTGACACCAAGCCCAACTTCTTCCAGGATTGTCTAATGGAGGTTTTTGACAGCTTGGAACAGCACATCCAGAACCCCGTGGTGCTACAGTCCATCCTCAGCCTGATGGACAGAGGCACCATGGTGCTGACTACCAACTATGACAACTTGCTGGAGATCTTTGGGCAGCAGCAGAGCAAGCCCATGGAGTCCCTAGACTTGAAGGACAAGACAAAGGTATGGGCTGGGTGGGCAGGAGTCAGGGAAGTCATTGCTGTGGACATGTTGCTGGCGTCTGCATTGAAACAAGACTCTGGGGTCCTCCTAGATGCCACTCTGCCATTTCCTCCAGCAGCCTGGGAGTCGTGCCCTTCCCCTCTGTGGTGCTTGCTGTTGTCCACTTGTACGCCCTTTTCATGGCCCGTCCTCTGCCCTGCACCCTTTCTCATCTACATTAGTTTGCTAGCAGTCACGGTGGGAATATGGTGGTAAAGCAAGTGCAAAGGGAAATGATTTTATTCCTCCCAGTGTGGATTTTCACCTGCACAATTGGGATTGCAATGTATGTAGACATTTCAATCCTGCTTTCACTTTTTTCCCTTAATATTTATTTTGGAGACAGGGTCTTAACTGTATTGCTCAGGCACATTTCATACTTGGGATCCACGTGCCTTTGCTTTCAGGTACTGGGGTTAAGATGCGTAGCACTGTGCCTTGCTTCCACTAGCTATGTAGTTGTAGCTGGGCTGCAGCTCAGTATATTGACCATGCTGGCTTTGAATTCATAGCAGTCCTTCTGCCTTTGCCTCTCAGGCTGCTCCATGATGGCCAGCTTAATTAAGCTATTTGTCTTACTTACTGTTCTACTGCTGTGACGAGACACCATGACTAAGGTACCTTGTAGAAGAAAGCATTTATTTGAGGGCTTGCTTATAGTTCCAGAGGGTGAGTCTGTGACCGTCATGGTAGAGAGCATGGCAGAAGGCAGGCAGGCATTGCACTAAGCCGTAGCTCAGAGCTTACATCTGATCTACATATTGGAGGCAGCGACATACAGACAGACAGACAGACTGGGCCTGGTGTGGGCTTTTGAAACCTTAAAGCTCAACCATCGTGACACACCTCTCCCAACAAAGCCACACCTCCTAATCCTTCCAACTGGAGACCACGTATTCAAATATATGAGCCTATGAGAGCCATTCCCATTCAAACTGCATTATTTTTATTTTTAAAAGAACAAATACAGGCCAGGCAGTGGTGGCGCACACCTTTAATCCCAGCACTCGGAGGCAGAGGCAGGCGGATCTCTGTGAGTTCAAGACCAGCCTGGTCTACAAGAGCTAGTTCCAGGACAGGCTCCAAAACCACAGAGAAACCCTGTCTTGAAAAACCAAAAAAAANNAAAAAAAAAAAAAAAAAAAAAAAAAAAAAAAAAAAAAAAAAAAAAAAAAAAAAAAAAAAAAAAAAAAAACCAAATACAGATTTATTAAAGAAAAGTGAGGAAGAATTCTGATAGCATGTTCTAAGGGAGAAGTGCCCAGTTGTTGACAATGGTTTGGCCCTGGTGTGGTGGTACCTGTAATCCTTGTGCTAGAAGGCCATCCTATGGCTCCAGCTCTGTGGAGCAGCCGTGCTCTACCCCTTGCCAGCAGTAGAGTTCTTAAAGACAAAGCAAGCAGGCATTAGCGCTTTGGAGGCTGAGGTAGGAGGATCACTGTGAATTTGAGCCTGCCCCGAGCTACATAGTGAGTTTGAGGCAGTTCTGGGGACCTGTCTTAAATACAAACTAAAACAAAAAAGCCATGCATTTCCCTGTCTGGGAGGTAAAATCCTAGTTGTTTCCCCTCTGTTGCTGAGGTTGAACATAGTTTCACTTTAGGAGCCATTTCCATTTTTGGCATGCTTGTGCCTTTTGTGATGTGCTCATGTTGTGGGTTATTAGGGATTCCCATTGCCACCTGTGCTGGTGGATAGCCGAGCTGGTATTGTGGCTCAGGCTCTCGGCTTTAGAACACTTCATCTAGCATATGTGAAGGAGGACCTGGGTTTTACCTGCATCACCATGAAACAAAAATGGAAACAAACACAACAGCCCCTGCAACAACCCAGAACGATTAACTGCATGGAACTGCAGAAGGTCCCTTCCCCTGCAGTCACAGCAGCAGAGGTACACTCCTCAGACTGTCTTTAAAGATCTCGCTGAGTTCTGGAGCAGGAATAACTGCCAGCCACAGTTTGTTTTAAAGGTGTGAGGGAAACATTTATCTTTCCAGGTAGTTGTATTTTTTCTTGTTTGAAGTAACACCATGCTGTTTCTTTGTCTTGGTTTGGTTTTTGATAGGTCCTTCAGTGGGCAAGAGGCCACATCAAGTATGGAGTTCTTCATATTCATGGCTTGTACACAGACCCCTGTGGGATGGTTCTGGATCCATCGGGCTATAAAGATGTCACTCAAGATCCTGAAGTAATGGTATGCTAGTTTTCACTAAGCCTTGTGTACCTACCTATTCTGGGGAGTCTCTGGGGGCAAGCAGCCGTCTAGCTGTGGCTGAGTGTTTCCCAGCCACTGGTCCTCTGTTGACCCTTCCTCCACATGGTTGCTGGGGATAGGACTATGTTATCCTGTTCTTAGCTATGTTTCTGTGCCCTGAGATAGTGCCTGCATTTTGAGTAGATGCTCAGGACATACTTGCTGGAGGAGGAAATGTGTGCTTCCTTAGAAAGTACAGAACTTCTCTCTTGGTGCCAGCACTAGCTCACAGTGATTGCTTTGCCAGGGACTTGGCAGGAATCTTGCTTGATCTGCCACAGAGGCAGTCTGTGGTCTTCCTCTCTGTTTTTCCCTGTTGGTCAATTTACGCAGGTGTTTAGTCTTCAGTCTTCACCTTCCTTACACAGCTGTCTCTTCAGCTTTCCAAACCTCATTTTAAAATTCGGCTAAGAATGGAGCTCTGGCTGAGCTCCTGCCCAGCATGTGCATACCCTTAGTTCCATGCCAGCGTGCATGGCAGACAAAACCAGTTAACACCTCGTTTTCAGGCAGCTTTTCTTTTCTTTACTTTTGAAAGTTGTAGGGTTTTTTTTTTTTTTTTTGGTTTTTCGAGACAGGGTTTCTCTGTGGCTTTGGAGCCTGTCCTGGAACTAGCTCTGTAGACCAGGCTGGTCTCGAAATCACAGAGATCCGCCTGCCTCTGCCTCCCGAGTGCTGGGATTAAAGGCGTGCGCCACCACCGCCTGGCTTTATTTTTTTTTTTTTTTATAGGGTCTCTCTATAGAGCCCTAGCTGTTCTGGAACTCACTAAGTAGGCCAAGCTGGCCTTGAACTCACAGAGATCTGCCTGTTACTGACTCCTGAGTGCTGGAATTAAATGTATTTGCTACCACACCCAGATTTCTTAATTTTTTAAACAAAGAGTTGTGCGTGTGTGTGTGTGTGTGTGTGTGTGTGTGTACATAGTAAGTGCAGGTGCCCCCAGAGGCATTGGATCCCGTGGAGCGGGAGTTACAGGTGGTTGAGCTACCTGCCATGAGTGCTAGGAATTGAACGGGGTCCTCTAGGAGAGCTCCCATTGCTCCTTCCTAACTACCTGCAAGCCTTTCTTGATGTCCTCACAGATGTCCATGTCAAGTGTGTGGAAAAGCCCTGTCTTGGCAATGTTGCCAAGTTTTTCTGCCCTAGCCACCACCCTCCCTCATTTCTGAGATGGTATCTCCTTTAGTCTATCTGACTTCAAACTTGCTAAGTATCTTTGAACTCTTGGTCTTCCTGCCTTTACCTCCCAAGTGCTGGAATTACAAGCATGTGCCATCATAGGCTATCTAGAACTCTGACTTGAGTCTGTGTTCACTTGTAATACTCCCTGGGTCAGGTACATGTTCCCCAGAGCTCTCCTCTGGACTCTGCAGCAGGGATGGTGTCAGCAGATGAGTGCTGGGCCGTTAAGAGTTGATGCTGCTGAGGCCCTCATCATAAGAAAGTGCTGTGCTGGTACTGGACCTTGCTGAGAGCCTTCCTGTTTGAGTCAGTGACCACTGCTGCTCTGAGTGACCCTCATAGTCTGTACTTGGCTACTGTCTCTGTTCCTCTTTTGCCGTCGCTCCCCAGAATTTATCTGCCCACATTCTGCTGTGGGAGGCAGTTCATCCATCTATTCATTGCTTTCAGGGTGTTGTATGTATACAACTTGGAACTGAGCAAAATTTTTTGAGATAGGGTCTTACTATGTAGCCCCACCTGGCCTGGTACTTGCTATGTAGACCAGGCTTGCCTGGAACTCACACAAAGATCTACCTGCTACTGCCTCCCTAGTGCTGTGATTAAAGGTGTATGCTACTATACCCAGTAGAACTGAGAACTTTTTTAATGTTTTTGTTTCATGTTTTAGTAATTTCAGATTGTATGTAAGTCTAGGAATTGACTTGGGTGAGTCAATCTGGCGAGCCATAGGTGTACCATAGGCTGTCCTTGCTATGAGATGAATTTGTGCTGGGCAGGTTGGCCAGTGCCCAGGCTCTGCTGGTTCTTTTCCTGGTCCCTCCGAAGAGGTGGATCTCAGCCTAGCTGCACTCACTGCATGGGGTCAACCTGAGTATGTCAAGAGCTCATAGCCTTTCGGAGCTCCTCAGGGTGGCTCTTGGGAAGCCTGGTGGGTACAGGATAGGATGTAAATGGATATATAGGTAGCTTTGTGTTAGCTGTGAGCTCCTGCTGTCTTCACAGAGGTGTCTTCGTTTATTGGCTTTCCCCAGGAAGTCCTACAAAACCTGTACCGCACCAAGTCTTTCCTGTTTGTGGGCTGTGGAGAGACCCTGCGCGACCAGATATTCCAAGCTCTCTTCTTATACTCGGTGCCAAACAAGGTGGACTTAGAGCACTACATGGTAGTGCTCAAGGAAAACGAAGACCACTTCTTCAAGCATCAAGCAGACATGCTTCTGCATGGAATTAAAGTGGTGTCCTATGGGGGCTGTTTTGATCTTTTCCCAGGCTATGTGCAAGACCTTGCCACTCAGATCTGCAAACAGCGAAGTCCAGGTGTGGAGTTCTGTCATTACTTTCCAAGCACAATTTTTGGCTTCTTCCTTCAGTTGTTCCTCCTCTCATAAAACTTACCAGTTACCAATAATCTAGTTAGTTTTTAACGCTCTAAATTTGATGATTGGTATAATAGTGACAGTCTGTAAGTAGAACATGAGACTGCTCACAAATGTGTGACACACTGATTCCTATTTCAGGCCAGTTTTATTGGTTGTGATACATGTGTATTCACATGATACATAACATGTGAATAGCATAGACCTTCATCTTGTCACTCCATTTTAAAAGCTAAACCTTGACAAGCACAAAAAGTGTCTGGTGGCTTTGAGTTTTCTTTCCTCAGAGCGCATCTCTGCTGGGTGAGGCACGGCATGCATCTCATTTGTGCTCTTTGGCCTTTCTAGGGAATCGCAGCTCTGCCAGTTTAAACCACAGTAATGGCAAATACTGAGCGAGTCACTTTTACATGAGGGAACTAATGCTTTTGAATTCAATGTCATAAAACATGGATGATAGCAAGCATGGAAAGTTCTGTATTGACTGGCCTTTCACGGTAACAGGAAACCCAGAGGCTTTCCATGTGGTGGAATGAGGTTAGCAGAGACCAGTGAGAGACAGCTGTACATAGTTAGTACAGGAGCCGTGTGTTTCTGCCATGGCGTTTCGGCTGTGAAATGATGAGTAGGTGTATACTTAGGGTAGTCGTCAGTTTCTCAGGGGGAGTAGGGACAAGACAATTCATGTTGTGGAGCGATGTCACGCACACCTACCAATTTTATATTTTTGCCATTATTTTTTTGAGACAGGGTCTCACTATTTTTCTCTGGCTGTCTAGGAACTCACAGAGATCTGCCTGCCTCTGCCTCCCATATGCTGGGATTAAAGACGTGCACAACCATGCCCAGCTGCCCTTATTTTTTAATATCAGAACCTTTTGCTACTTAGATGATTGTAAGAGTTACCAGCTGAGGGAGGTGAGTATTTACCCAGTGTGTGCCAGAACTTTGAAGCTGGGATTTGATCATGGACTAACAGACAGAAATATCTTGGTTCCAGTTGTGTGCATGGGTCTTTAGAGACCTCCCTCATCCTGCCCACCTCTGTCCTGCCCACCACTTCTTCAGGCTCCCTAGCCATGACTCCCTAGAAGACAGCACCCAGCCACTGAGCATGGTATATAGAGTAAGCAGCTAAATTGCTTCCCAGCCCCAGTGAAGCTCCTTTTCCAGAACCTGGTAGCTGAACGGACGCAGAGCTGCTAGAGAGTAAAAGGTCACCGAGGTTTTTACCTGTGCCTGTCCTGAGGGGCAGGGTTGCCTCCTGACGGTGAAAGTGACAGTAGCTGTTACAGGACTGTCTCACTCCATGTGCCTGCAGCTCCAGTTGCTTCACGTGGTCATGCGGTGAGCTCTTGCAGCCATCCTGCCAGGTGAAGAAGGGAGTGACGCAGGCATTGCTTCATGGCTGGCATGCGATGCAATTGTTACAGAAGCCTGTCCCAAGCAATAGATGGCCGTGGGGTGGCCTGTGTCATCATTGCAGGCCTGAGGAGGAGTACTCCAAGTCTTGGCTTTGCTGACTGTTTCCTCTCTTCGCAGATGCTGAGCGAGTGGACAGCACCACTTTATTGGGTAAGGCAGATCTTTACTTTTGCTCACCTGACTTTTGCTTCCATATTCTACTGGTCACCATTGGTAAAATCATGAAAGTGTTCCTTACATTCAATAAGGTGATGTATTAAATAGCACAGAAAGGACAGATACCAGTGCCTTCAGATGGTTCTTGCCATGGTAAAAGCCCAAAAGTCCATCTCTCTCACTGGGAAGCACAGCCTAATAATGGGCTGTCTGCTGACACCGGAGAATAATTTCTGCCCCAGAACCAAGAGTTACAGGAAGTCAGAGCAATGCTCTTTTTGCATTATGTCATTCAGTGAAGGATTCAGTAATCTAGGGTGACCTGCCCCTTACTTACACTTCTGTATAAATATGTATTCTTTTAGTACTTGTTTGAAGTATGAATGCTCTTATTGGGTTTGGTACTACCAATTTTTAAACTAGTGAGTTAGCAGCTACCAGCATCTTCCAGTGGGCAGATTAAGTGGGAGTGTCTCTACTGCCTGAGTCAGCTGGGCTAAAAAAGATTCTAACCCGTGAATGCTCAGGAGCCTCTGTGCAGCCTGCCATTGCTGCCTGTTGGGCCAGCTAGTACCCGTCCATGTCAGTGGTGGAGTTGGCTCAGCCCAGGAGTGCTAAGAGCTGTCCTCTGCCTCCCATGTCATGTGAAAGGGTGTTATTTTTGCTGTGCTTTCCCTTTTAGTGTGAATCCAAGAATTATATTTTTCCTTTGAAAGCAGCAGTAACTCGGCTGATAAAATATGCAGTACATGGCAGGGAATAGAATCAGATTCAGAAATTGACTCCTAGAAATAGATTCGTCCTATAATAGTATGTTAGCACATGACAAAATATTTGAGAACACTCGAGGAAGGACTTGCCAATAGTTTCCGAGGTTTCAGCCATGGTCACATGGCCCCCTTACTTCTGTCCTGTGCATGGTAGGAGTACAGAGTACAGAGGAGGGGTGAGGAACAAGGCATGCTCCCAGCGACCTGTGTTCTCCAGCCATAGCTCACCTGATAGCCCATTCAGTACAAGCTCATTGCACATTAGCTGGGTTACAGTGAGAACATCTGTAGTTTGAATAGGATGTTCATTATCAAATTTGGGTTGAAGTCTTCATGCACTCCACAACTCATGCAGCCTGTTCTGCAAAACCAGACAGGAAACACTGTTGCCAGGAACAGCAGCAGTGCCAGGCCCAGCTGGCCCATGGTTGTAGTGACTTCTGTGTGCCTGCATGAGTGAGTGGAGCTTACCTAGGCACCCCAGTGCAACAGCCCTAGAGCTCCCGCCCCCCCCTCCCCCAGCCTGTGATTGATAGACCTGCTTTCTGAGAGACATTCAGGGCACCTTTCCTGTTGTCTTAGTATAACAGCATGGGACTTGCTTTTAACGGTGCTAATCTTTTTTTTTTTTAAGATTTTATTTATTATGTATACAGTATTCTGTCTCCATGTACACCTGCAGGTCAGAAGAGGGCACCAGATCTCAGATGGTTGTGAGCCACCATGTAGTTGCTGGGACTTGAACTCAGGACCTCTAGAAGAGCAGTCACTGCTCTTAACCTCTGAGCCATCTCTCCAGCACCTTACAGTGCTAATCTTAATTGGCAGCCACACCTCTCTTAATCCTAATTTTGAATGTCCTGCTTTTCTAGCCAAACTGTAAGGTTTTCCAATTCTTTTTTGCTTTTTGCTTTTAACTCTCACTGTGAAGCTGGCTAAAAGCAGCTAGTAATGCCCATGCCAGAGCCTGAGTACCACCCAGCCTTGCAGTTTTCTTCACCAGATTATATTGTCAATTGCTTTTAAATTCAACTTCCTACAAAACCTTGGCATAGACAAAATGTAGACTTTTAATTAATTAGAATTAATTAATTTATAACTTTTCTAGAGTGTGAAATGAATGCCTCTAGTCTAATCCCCTGGAGTTCTCATTTCACCAGATCCTATTAGTGGTCTTACTGTTTGTATTCCCATCAGCATCCTGGGCTTCTGAATGCTCAGCATCGCTAAGCTTTTCCTAACATGTTTTTCTAAACTCGTAAGTCGCTCCTGCATAGTGGTTCTAAAGGTGTGCATGCTCACATAGAATCATGCCCTCACTTGTTAGCACCACTTCCCTACTGGCCTTTCTATGACAAAATTCTGGAGAAAAAGCAAATTTGGCTCTCAGGCTTGGCCTTGATCACCTGGTTCCATTTGTTTCTGGACCTGTGATGGGAGGGAGACAAGGCTTCTGCTCACCTCAGGGTAGCAAGAGAGGGAAGGGGAGTGCAAGGGTCCAGGGCATGCCTCCAGTGACTGTCCAACAAGGCTGCCTTCCAGCAATGCTCCATTAGTTGGGAGACCTCAGGATCTAATCACTACCCCAACAGCCTAACTTTGAGGTTCTGTATTGGGGACCCAGCCTTTAACCCATGAGGTTTGAGGGATACTAAATATCTATACCATAAAAGTAGGCAAACTATATTTCCACCTATGGGCAATTTCAGGGCTATGCAAGGATAACAAGTGAATTCCCAGAGCACTCCCATCTGTTACCATCATGCTGCTTTTCTCCCTCCTGGACTATTTTAATGTAATTTTTTTTTTCAATTTATTTTTTTAAATTTCTTATTTTTTTAATAATTTTTTTAAAGGTAATGCATGTCAGGATTGTGCGAAGAGGAAGTTGGAAGAAAATGGAATTGAAGTTACAAAAAAAGTCAGACAGTCAGATACTGGTAGGTATTATTTGTTTTGTGGGGACCCATCTTAGCTCTGTACTGTAGTTAGTGCTTTGCTAACACCCCTGGTCTGTGGGGAGGAGCGGCACATACACCATGTCAGAATCACACAGACCTGGAGTGGAACCTGACCTTTCACACTACGGACCAGAGTGCTACCATGTCCTCAGAGTTTCTATTTAACTGAAGGAAGACAAGCAAGTGATGCAGTCAGCTAGTGAGTGTTCGTTCATGAGGAAGACACCCATTCGCATACCAAGTCAGCAAACAGCAGATTCTGGGAGAGTTCCCCACCAGCTGGAGTGCCCACATCTGTCTCTAAGAAATCACTTCAGAGTCTTGCTTTTGGTTATCTACTACAGAGATGTATAGGAACTTGTTCACTGTCAGCTGCTCGTTTCAGTGGGCTCTGTCCACTGGTAGGAAAGGTGTCCTGGCTGACTGCTCCAGTCACCGCTGCCTTCTTTACGTCCCCTCTCCAGGTTTGGTAGTGTGTGTTTCTAGTTACTCAGTACCCCCAGGGGAGTTGGGTTTGAGTCTGACTGAGCTCTGAAGGGCGCTCCCTTCTCCTTCTCACTCCCCCAGCTCCAGCCCTTAATACTGTCAAAGTCAAGCACCTAGTTACGGGATAAAAAGGAAGCAAGGCCTCTACTCTGTGGATTCTAAAAGGCGGAAAATAAAAGTGTTTCCTTTATTAAATGCATCTGTATTCTTTCGACTTGTTTATGGTGTTAGAGGGCCAAGGCTGTGACTTCTTAGTTGTAGGATGTGTGTTGACTGTCCTGTATTGACAGTTGTTTCTTCTTTCCATCCTCTCCTCTCCTCTTATGCTGGGAATCTCCTCCTGCTGCTTGCAGTCTCCTGGATTAGTTCCACTGTCTTTTATGTTTCCGCTAATGGTTCTTTTGTATTTGTTTTTCGAAGCAGGGATTATCTGTGTAGTCCTGGCTGTCCTGGAACTCGCCCAGTAGACCAGAGTGGCCTCAAACTTACAGAGGTCCACCTGTTTCTGCCTCCCGAATGCTTGGATTAAAGGCGTGTGCCACCACTGCCTGGCTCCTTAGTGCTTCTTAATTTTCATTTTCAATCTCTATTAAAAACACTTTGAGAAATTCTCAAGATTATAGTTTTAGCCCTTAGATTAAACTTTTGTTATTTTTGAGAGTCTGGAGCTGGGGCTATAAAGCAGGGGCTTGTGCATGCCAGGCACAGTGAGCTACGTCTTCATCATCCAAATTTTTGTTTGTCTTGAGATAGGGTTCTTACTGTTTCCTTGGCCGGCCTGGAACTCACCATGTATAAATCAGGCTGACCTCAAATTCAAGAAATCTACCTGCCTCAGCCTCTCGAACCTGGGACTAAAAGTATATGCCACCATGTCCAGCTTAAAATTCTTACATTAATAGTGTGACCTGAAGTTTCTGAGAGTTCTTCTCATTTTAATCTTGCTCCTATCATTTGTTGTATAGTGCTGTAATAAGTCTTTCAGATCTTTGGGGACCCCAGAGTCTGCTCTGATTATCTGTTACTACCTCATTCCTGAGGCCTTTTTTTTTTTTTTTTGATAGATTTCGATTATAGGTGTTTTCCTACTAATAGAGAACTCAGGCTTCAGCACTATGGAATGCATCTCTAATCAGTTGTAGCACATATGAGATTGAGGTTATTCTGGACTGTATAAGAGCACTTGTCTCAAAAACAAGAGAGGAAAGGCAAGGAGAAGAAAAGGGAGGGCAGAGGTTAGGGAGAGAGACCACGACTTACATGTGGCTGAATACTACTTAAACACTTATGCAACTCTTCTCTAATAATTTTCCAGAGCTATGGAACATTTAGCATATTGATGACACACACTGAACATTTAAAGTTATAAAAAAATTGCCTGGTGTCTGATGAGCACTGTGACAGAGTTTCTTGAGCATTCCTAGTGTGAAATCCTCTCAAATTTAAACTTTTTGTTACTCAAAATTTTTAGATTTGGGGGAGAGATGATTTAGTGGTTAAGGGTGTTTGTTGCAGCCGGGCAGTGATGGCGCACACCTATAATCCCAGCACTCGGGAACCAGAGGCAGGCAGATCTTTCTGAGTTTGAGGCCAGCCTGGTCTACAAGAGCTAGTTCCAGGACAGGTATCAAAACCACAGAGAAACCCTGTCTTGAAAAAAAAATGTGCTTATTGCTCTTGCAGAGGACCCTGAGTTCACGTCCCAGTACTCATGTGGCTCACAACCACCTGTAACTCTAGCTCCAAGGAATTTGATGCCCTCTTTTGGCCTCTGCAGGCATCCTCTCTGTCTGTCTGTCTGTCTGTCTCTCTCTCTCTCTCTCTCTCTCTCACACACACACACACAGAAAACCAATAATAATAAAGTACAAAATAAATAAAAGTTACAGATTTGGAAGCATTTTAGATTTCCAATTAGGGCTATTCAATTCTTTAAGGGATTCTATGCAGAGTTCCTAAACAGCCTAAGCTGAGAAATCTAGCCAGGTGATGGTAGTGCACACCTTTATTCCCAACACTTGGAAGGTAGAGGCAAGAGGATCTACACACAGAGTGAGTTCCAGGATAGCCAGGACTGTTTCACAGAGAAACTCTGTTTCAAAAAACAACCAAACCAAAACCAAAAACTGAGAAATGTGAAGTGCTTTTGGGCCCCAAGCATTGTGAATAAGGATGCTAGTATATTTTGTATAAGAGATAATATGAACTATGTGTTCCAAGGACTCGAGTCGCTGAAGTCATCTGTTATTGACTGAGTCACACTGAACACAGATAATCTAGTCAAATAAAACAAGACAACTTAAAAATATTATCTGCAGTGTGAATTATTCACACTAGGAGGTGGCAGGGGACCAGAGGCTGTGAAGGCTCACTGTCCAGAGGTATCCCAAGGGAGTGAGCAGAGGTCCTGGCAATGGCTCGGGACAGCTGCTGAGGCTGTATGCTTCCTTCAGATTTTGTGTAACTTTAGTGTGTTTAGCAATGTTATCTTTAAAGGGAAATTTCACTTTTGGTTGTGTATGGACAGAATTCTTTGGCATCTTTCATTTGGCTTGTATTTTTAGTTGGCAAGGACATCTATAAGACAGAACAGACTAGTTCTTTAATTGTTGCAGGTGTTTCTTTTCTGTTAGTCTCCTTAAATGGTCCTGGTTTTCCTCACGTCTCGGCATCCTCCACCATCTGCTGAAGTCTAAGGTCTCAGCAACTGCTGTCAGTAGACAGTTGTGGGTTTTTGGTTTCTTTATTCTGTCATCACCTGTATACATGTAGGCTTGCCATGTTCATCATCTCTCTGAATGCTGTTTGTTCAGGTGCCAGGGCTACTGCCTGGTAGACAGTGCCATAGAGCCAGAGATCTTTGATGCCCAGAAAGAACTTTTCCCTGAGTAATAGCAACTGTATCAGCCTTGCGTCTCCCTGGGCAGTCATGTTTGCTTGAGGAAATGCCTCTGGTCTCGAAAGTACAGAAAGCCTTGGCCTGTTCTGCATATGGGTGAGAAAGGCCAAGGGTCACCTTCTTAGTCCTGTTGTCTACACCTGCAGCCTAAAGATCACCAGAGGAATGGAGTTTCTGGGTTGCAGTGTTGTGTGTGCATCCTGAGCTTTCATTTTTCTTATTCTTCCTTTCTTTTCTTTCAGTTTTTCGAGACAGGGTTTCTCTGTAGCTTTGGAACCTATCCTGGAACTAGCTCTTGTAGACCAGGCTGGTCTTGAACTTAGATCTGCTTTCCTCTGCCTCCCAAGTGCTGGGATTAAAGGTGTGCGCCACCACCGCCCAGTCCTTTCTCTCTCTCTCTCTCTCTCTCTCTCTCTCTCTCTCTCTCTCTCTCTCTTTTGTACATGCAGCCCTGGCTATCCTGGAATTTGTCCTGTAGACCAGGCTGGCCTTGAATTTACAGAAATCTGCCTGCCTCTGCCTCCCAGGTGCTGAGATTAAAGGCATGTACCACCTAGGCCTGAGCCATCATTTCTTATCAATACGTAAACAGGCTATTACTGCCTCTGTGATGAAAATACTGACTTGATTCTACCAGAAAACAGCACTGAAGTGCATGGGTAGATATTTCCATAGGTCTCACACATACATTGGCTTGGCCCTTGGCAATACTTATAGCTCAGCAAGGCCATTTCTAGACAGTGGCTGCTGTTCCTTTTATGGAAGGTTTTCAGAATTATCAGCATGTGAGGCAGTTTCTGAAACAGAAATCCTGATACAATTTTTAGTGAACTGAAACACTTTGGTATTTCTCATGTTTTAAACAGATGATGCTGGAGGGTCTTGAAGATTTTAAAACTTGAAACTTGAAAACCAGCCTTCTGTAACCACAGTGCCATGCCCAAGCGATGAGGAATGTACAGAGGACTCCATATGGATCTCTCAATAGAGAACTGTTATATACCCCAAAAGAGCCATGTGGGTGTGTGGCCTTTGTGGTTGAATGACAGAGTTCCACTATGTGCTTAGCTGCTCAGGAGGTGACATGGACACACTTCAGGTATACTCTGTAAGGACTAATGGACAGCTACCTCAGGGACCAAATTGGGAGGTGGGATGTACCTGGCATTGTTCCCTCTTCTTGTTTGACATGTTTTCTTATGTCAGGGTGTTATTTTTCCAGTACATGGAGGAGAGTGAAGACTGTCCAAGCAACAGTAGTTGCCAAAGAGAAAATAAGACGTAAACATTATATTTTATACCTTTACATAGAAACATCTTTTACTGTAGAAAGTTTTTTAAAGATGTGTTGGTTTCATTGTTAAATAGTAAAGAGTAAGTGGAAAGTAGAGGCACTTGACCCACTAGAAAAAATGGTTGTTTTAAAGGGATTACTCAGTCAGCTGGGTTTCTTTGGAATTGTGATGTTTTAGTAATTTCTCTTTCAAAGAAATGGCAGACTGCCTGGTAGGAAGTGTTAAGTCCAGAGTCTGAACCCTTTCAAAAGTCTTCAGTACTGTCTAGATCCACTTAGTGACATAGAAGCTAGAAAGTAAAAGCGAAGCACAAGCAAAGCTTTAAACTTTCAGATCTTAAGTTCTAAGCTTTCCAAGTCTTATTTCTTCTCTAGGCTAAGGTCCATCTTTTCTGTTCTCCTCTTCCCATGGTTTCTATTAAGATTTACATGGAGTAGGGTAGGCAATACTTTGAAAGGGCTTGCCACATTTTAACTACATTCAAAGTTTCCTTCTGGAAAACACCCACGCTCAGAGTTCCTCTGATAGTGATGATGGCAAAGGCTCCCATGTTATGCAGAGTGGTCCTGAAAGGAAGACTCCTTAGAAACAGGTCCTGCATGGCTCATTTGAGGCTACTAATCTTTGATATGATGGCAGGTTCTTTGATATCTTGCCAAACCCTGCCTGTCACATTGCATGGATGGCACTGTAGCTCCCAAGGGGACAGGAATAATTAAGAACAGGAAACAGGTTGCGACAGGGAATGAGGGAGAAGCGAGAAACAGGCTAAAGACCCCCCTCCCATTTTTAAGTGTGGAAAAAAAATCTTTTATGTCACTGGTTATAAATAAAATTTTAAAGTCAACCCTGTGTGTTCAGGTTTTTTTTATGACAAGATATGGTAATATGAGAATATTTAGTCACTGAACTGTGAAATCAAGCAAATTATTACTTTTGAATGTCTCTAATTAAAAAAAAACATGAATTTTTGAAAACTGTTTTTTGGGAGCTAGAGAGATGGCTTAGTAGTTAAGAGTACATACTGCTCTTGTAGAGGACCAAGTTTGGTTTCCAGCACCCACACATCAGGGGACTCTCAACCACCCAGGGAATCTAATGTCCTCTTATAGATTCTGTGGGCACCTGTACTTATATATGCATAGACCCCAACAGAAAGAGATTATTGTTATTTTGAGATAAAGTTTCACCTTGTAGGCCAGGCTGGCTTCTAACTCATGGCAGTTCTCCTGCTTGGCCTGTTAAATGTGATTACAGGTTCAGCAGTGAAACTTCCTTTTTTAAACACATTTACAAAATGCAAGTGCTATCAGGGATAGCTAGATTAAATATTAAAGTTGATCTTTGTTTAGCAAAGTTTAGCAAAATTACATTCTGCTGGCTATAAAAGCAGGATGCAACAGATTCAATGCAATGCCCATCAAAATTCTTCATAGACCTCGAAAGAACGCTACTCAACTTCATATAGAAAAGCAAAGAACCCAGGATAGCCAAAACAATCCTGTACAATAAAAGAACTTCTGGAGGCATCACAATCCCTGACTTCAAACTCTACTACAGAGCTACAGTACTGAAAACAGCCTGGTATTGGCATAAGAACAGACAGGAGGACCAATGGAACCAAATAGAAGACCCGGATATCAACCCACACATCTTCGAACACCTGATCTTTGATAAAGAAGCAAAAAATATCAAAAATATGGAAAAAAGAAAGCATATTTAACAAGTGGTGCTGGCATAACTGGATCTCAACATGTAGAAGAATGAAAATAGACCCATATCTATCATCATGCACAAAAGTCAAGTCCAAATGGATCAAAGACCTCAACATAAATCCAGCCACACTGAACCTTATAGAAGAGAAAGTGGGAATGCATTGGCACAGGGAACCACTTCCTAAATAGAGCCCCAGCAGCACAGACACTGAGAGAAACAATTAATAAATGGGACCTCCTGAAACTGAAAGCTTCTGTAAAGCAAAGGACACAGTCAACAAGACAAAACGACAGCCTACAGAATGGGAAAAGATCTTTATTAACCCCACATCAGACAGAGGTTTGATCTCCAGAATATACAAAGAACTCAAGAAATTGGACACCAAAAGTTCACATAATCCACAGACCTAAACAGAGAACTCTCAACAGAGGAATCTAAAATGGCTGAAAGACACTTAAGGAAATGTTCAACATCCTTAGTCATCAGAAAATGCAAATCAGAACAACTCTGCGATTCTATCTTACACCTGTCAGAATGGCCAAGATCAAAAACACCAATGACAACTTATGCTGGAGAGGTTGTGGGGAAAAGGGAACACCATGCTACAACCCCTTTGGAT